TAATAATAAAATAAATAATAAAATACAATATCGGAATAATAAACTAATAAAATAATAAACTGTTCTATAACAGTGTAATAAAGTCAGAAAAATGCCGTATAATTCCCAAATATGATGTAGAAATGCATACTCTAATATTAAAATGTTTTTATAATCAGGCAAACCACCAGAAATACCATAAGACTTTTTTCGCGATTTCAGAATGGTATATTGGAATCACCCAGGAGGAAGTGAGAGCATACATGAATAAGTGTGCTGCCTGTAGTATAAATACCTCCATTAAAGAAAAAACAGATATAATCCCTATAGTATCGTTGAGACTATGGGAGCATGTTCAAATCGACCTAGTCGATTTTCGTGATTTCGCTGAAATGAATGACGATTTTTCGTGGTTGCTTATGTATGTCTGTATGTTTTCCAAGTTTCTTGTTGCAGTCTCAATGAAAATAAAGAAGCATGCACGGTTGCGACACATCTTCTCAAAGATGTTTTCAAGATTCTTGGACCCCCTGTGGTCCTTCAAAGCAACAACAGTAGGGAATTTGTTGCAGAAATAATCACGCAAATTTGTGGGGCCCTCAACATTATGGTTAGGCATGGTCAGCCTTGGCATCCACAGTCGCAAGGTCAAATCGAGCGACTTAACCAGACTGTAGGTCGCAGTTTCACTAAGTTACTTTAAGATGAAAGTAACAAACTACAAAGAAAAGACTGGATAAATGTAATCGACATACTTGTCACATTGTATAACTCAACGGTCCATACGGCCCATAGTCGTACACTACATGAAGCAATTTTCGGATAGAAAATGTATTGCGTCTACGATACTCCTAGCACAACTGGTTTGTTGATATTCGATCATTATCCTGTTACTGTTATACATCAGATTACAGAGTTTTATTAGGTTTGGGTTTGGGTTTGGGTTAGGGTTAGGGTTAGGGTTAGGGTTGATTCGATTTGATGCAGATCTTAATTTGATGTATGATATTACAAACTCAAACGGTTGCTAAAGTAGGTTTTAGAATTATGCCACTAAACATCCAGTTGTTTTTTTTTAAACAGGTACTCTTGAGGATAACGGTACAGAATTCGCCACCACTGGGACCACCTCCACCACCACTGAAATAACTACTGATGCTACTGCCAAAACTGCTGCCTCCACCACCACTAAAACAACCACCTAGACCACTGATGCTACCGCACTGATACTACCTCCACCACCACTAAAACAACTACCCAGACTACTGATACCATCGCCAAAACTGCTGTATCCAAAACTACCACTGAAATTGCTGTCTTTGAAACTACTACCACTGCCCAAACTGCTGCTGCTGTAGAACAACATGTTTCACGAATGTTGGAAATTCATGAATCTATAAATGCTTCTCTTGAAAAGTATTGTGCAAGAATATATCGGCAAAATAGTGTATATAGGAAAAAAAAGACTAACAACACAATTGAAGCTAGAACCTCAGTTGCCATTGCATCTGATCACAATATGAATCAGCAAACCCGGAAAAGAAAATTGCAATCAACTTTTTCTCAATGAGGTGTGTTCAAATCACTCACATCTAACAATCAAACCGTGATTGTTAAAATGGATGGCGAAGACGTTCGAGTTTCCGTAAAACGAATTAAAGCTATACGAAATAAGTCGTGAACAATATTGTGGATCTTTTTTTTTAAAAAAAAAAAAAATTGGTGCTTTTTTTTTTAAAAAAAAGACAGGTTTTTTCTTTCTTTTTTTTTTTT